CATAATGAAAAAAAAAGTTCCTACAAGTTTTCAAACACTTTCGTGAATAACTTATCTAATAACATATCTAATAACATATATAACATCTAATAACTTATCTAATAACATATATAACATCTCGTCTCATTCAACTTGATCAATTTGAAAGAGCATATACAACTTAGAAACCAATAGACACGTTAAATATATTAAATATCTTATAAATCCTGTATAAAATTCCAAGATATTTCACGCAACGCCCGAAATCAAATATCCAAAGGTTAAAAGTTTTCCACGAGCGTTCAAACAGCTTCGCGAGTGACTGTCGAAAATTCGAAGTAGAATTCCACCCGAGACTAAATTCGGATAAATCGCGCCGTCGGCAGAATAAAGATAAAGTGGGAATTAAGAGAGGGGCAGGTTTCGCAGGTCTAATTACGTACCCACGCCCTCCTCTCCGCCGGCGTAAACACTGGCAAAGCGTCGAATCGTTTACCCCCCGCTTTGGCGCGACGTTATTCCTGCAACCCTCGCCGCCACGTAAGGAATGCGCAAGCAGCGCCCGATCAACAGGCTCACCATCCACCAGTTGTTCGACGATCGTTTTACCATCGCCTCGTTCTTGCCCGTTCGTCTTCCAACGTCTCGTCCTTCTCTCCTCCCGGTATCCTCCCCACGGTTGATTGAATATTCCACTCGACGCTTTATCAGTCAGACGCCAGCTGAATATAAATACAATTTGAAACGGTAATTCTTGCAGTTCCTGTATCTTCGGAGCGTGGCTTATTGGCCAGATCGGGCCTAGATATCGCTTAAAAGCACGGGGAATAATCGGCACGCGTGATCTACGTTATTAAACAGCTCCGCGCGCGAGTTACTTTCATCATCGACGATCTAGCTTTCATTAGCATTTGCTTTTAAGCCGGGCGCGTTTTAACGCTCGAAACTCCGCTCGCCTCTCGGCTTTCGACCAGGCTCGTATAAGCGAATCCTTAACCAGTTTTTTTTTTTCCTTTATTAGTCCCGGGATTAAATTTAGGAGCACAAACTGCTTCGATTCCTGTTTGCACGAACAGAAATTACGACGCTGATAAGGAAAGGATAAGAGGACGATTTCGTCACGATACGTGATTTTATTTGTAATAAACTGGAACTAGAAAACTATCAAATCACGATAGCTTAGGATGTTTTCTTACAACGTTTAGAATTTTTGATTATAATGTGTAAAATTTTTCAGATAATGTTAAAGAATTTGGTGTACTGGTTAAAAACAAGAAACATCTGTGCTTATTGTCTGACGAGCATTATATTATTGTTGAACCTAACAGTCTATTTTCTAGTAGACTGAAATATTATTTTCTTCCTCTCATTCTTAGATGTTAAATAAATAATTTGTATTTATTTTGCGAAATCTACCTAAGGAATCTGTCCAATATTTCTAGACTGCGGATTTTTATGCAAATTCATATATTTGGGAGTGCAATTAGTAAAGTAGACGTTCGAGAAAAAACTGATACTTATATACACATTGTACCTCAGATATTTTATATATATATTTTTCGTATCATTTTACACTTCGAAATTTCTCTCTTATTTCCTTTCAGTTTTGATCCCTTGCAATTCCGTGTAATTGTAAACATTTATTACGCTTCGAACAGTTAATAATACCATTAGAGAAATAATTTTCGCAGTCTGACGATTTGTGACAAATTAATGTAGCGCAACTACGATCCTGTTAAACGAAAGAAAATAAATATTTGAAACTTTAGAAAATCGCAATGTTGCGGGCTTGAGTTTTGAAATTTTTTTCACTTTTAACATTTACACGCAGGAATGAAGGATGACTCGACTCTCTTCATTACATTTATATTCCGTCTACCCGTGCCATTAGAGTAAATCACGCACGCGGCCATGAAGACCACCCTCTCCCATGAAAATTCCAGCAGGTACTTTTAATAACGAAAATTACAAATGATCGTCGTCTGGAATAAATGAAAATAACGACACGACCGTTGCTAATTCATTCCCGTCCCGAAATATCACAAATTGGAGAGAGGGGAGCGTGTCAGTGAAGGAAAGTTTCGCTTGAATTTATCCGCGCTCGGTTAATTGGAAAAATACGCCAGGCATTAAACGATCTGGCCGGACGATCGTTGAAGCTTGCTCTCGATTCTATTCCTTCCCCATCCTCCTCCACTTTTTTTCCTCTCGCAAAAATTAATGTAAATTTACAAATCTAATTCGCAGCGAATGGGGAAGGAGGAAACGACGCTATCTCGCTTGGAGAACGACCGAGGTGTGGAGAGAAAAAAAAAAAAGAAAGGTCAACGCGCGTCATTCGTTGCGAGTTGTTCGTCCGGTGAATGGCGGATGAACCGGAAATGAGTTGGCTGGCTCGCGTTCTTCGTCGCAACGCCGGCCAATAACTCGATCCCTTGTATAATTTCCGTTTCGCCGCGATCTCGCAACCGTCCGCGTTAACTTCGATAATGTAATGCAAATACATCCGCCACTCTCTTCGATCTATTCGCCCCTCTCTTTTGTCCCACGCTCGGCGACGCGCCACTCTTCCCTCCCCTATTGATACGGATACGATAAAGGCGGACGCGTGCGACTCGAATGCGAAATCGGAAGGCCGAGGATGGAATTATTTCCGAGTATAAAATTCCCGATTGTCCGGTCGCACAAAAAGATCGAGCCTCGAGTTCGCGGATGTGTTCCGAGCGAGCTACGTTAACGACCAACAGGACGATGTCAGATTTCTCGAAGGCACGAGTTCGACGAGATGGTTGTACGATTTGATAGAACGAGTGTGACAAATTCGGCAAGTGGGAATTTTTAAGAGACTTGGAACTTTGTATAAATGTAGTTCACGTGGTGATAATAAGGGAACGATTTCTTTTTTCCCGGCAAGTGAAGGCACCCCCTCGATATTGAGTTTTCATATTATCGTGAATATATGAATAATTTATAAATGCGAACTGCTGATAAACTGGTGATCTGCGATGTAAAAGAATCAGATAAAAAGTATAAATGGTTTCAAGAGGGTTATAATCTGTTGTGAATCTGGAACTGTATAATCTCTAACGCGCTAATCGATACAACTCGACTCGTCCTCTCTAAGAAAGTATATTAATCGATGCAAATCAAAAAAACTATTTATTTAGGAGATATTTTAACTTTCATTTTGCAAGCAGTCGACAGAGTAATTCGATCAACAGGACAGTTTAGTTATTATATCATAGTAGGTAATTGTATTACAATGATCGTGTTATAATGATATTAAACTATATTAAATTATTCTGTCGATTTTACCAGCAAGTCGATTTTAATAAAGAGCGAGTTAAAACTAGTTAGATTTTAAATCCTCCATATGTAAGCGAAGTTTTTTTTTATAAATATTTTCAAAGAGAAGTATATTATACAATCCGAATGGGCTCTCGAATTTTAATATTCAAATTTTCCCAAATTTTTGTATTCTATAGATAAAAACATCATGTAGCAAAAAGTTCACAAATGCTTCGTTAAAAAGTCATTTCTACGGATCATTGGCAAAATTGATATTGAAGTACTATTTACTATATAATGTGCAAATGAAAATTAAAAAATGCAGAAATACACGTGAGCGAAGAATTAATTCAACGAATTGGTAATTCAATTGCTGAGATTTCCAAGAAATTCAGACTGTGATAAATTTCACATTACATCGACGTCAAGCTTGCACCGAAGATGATTATTTTGAAATGAGAATTTAAAAATTATCAGACATCAAAAAATAACTTTATATATTAGTACAAATATATTTAGGCTACATTCAATATTCACTTACAATTTCCTAACAAAGCATCTACAAACTTCATATAACATTTTTTTCTCATTTTCATTTGTAGATTATGCGGTTACAATTTTTTCGGAAAAGCAGGAAACACTCTGTACAATATCTTCTTCCCCTTTTTTTTTTAAGTAGTATGTAAAGTATGTACCAATGATGTTATCGTTTGTCAATAATTATTAATAATTATCAAAATTCAGAAGAAAAATTGAAAATTATTCTACGAATAAGAGAACTTTTCACATCTGAGAGACAAGCAGAGAAAGTGAGAAGTAGAGTAGAAAAGAGGACAGAATGGAAGAAAAGGGGAGAGAAAAATGGAAAGAGGAAGAAAGAGAAAATAGCGAAGAAAAGAAAGGAAGGATGATCGTAATGGAGAGGAAAATAGAGAAAGAAAGAGAGGGAAGAAGAAGGAGAGAAAGCTACAAAAAAATCGAATACAAAAGAAGCGAGCAGAAAGGAAGCTCTCGGTACCTATCTCTTTCACTGCCTCCAGTGTCCGACTCTAAATCTCCTTTGCCAAAAGTCAATCAAGACCTCGTCGAAGCGTTTCATCACTATTTAACCGAGTAAAATCGGAGGAGCGTTGCTACTCGTTGCGATCTTCGGCTAACTGCAAGCAACTTTCGCGCTGCAATATTGACAACGTGTTCCACGCTCTGCGGAAACAAATTTTCCTTGTACATTATTTCTTTTTTTTTTTTTCTGTTTCGCGTAATTAAATTTCAGTTCGACTCGCAATTTCTAAATGTGAATATAAAAACAAAAAGCCCGGCGGGGGCAAATAACAAACTCGCCGAACGGGGGTAAGTAATCAAAAATATTTTCGTTCGTTTCATTTATTTCGCCGTTCCACAACGCTGAAATAACATCATAAAAGCTTCGACGTAAAAATAATTTCTATAATAATTCATAGGGCACAAAAGCCGACGTGATGCCGCGCGCACGCGGAACATATACACGTCGAAATTAATATCAGAATTGTTTTCCTTTTTCAACCCCATCTGCCGAAACACAGCGGTGAACACGACAGAGGATGCCGTCGCTCGGCGAAAGCGCGCCGGTTAACAAGAACGCCGTTCGTACGATAACGC